AAGGACAAGGAGGGCCTGCTACGTTCCGAGGCGGACTCGAACAGGACGGTACCCGGGTCGCACACGCGCGGGAGCGGCACGTCACGAGGCTCGCCACCGGCCCAGCGACGGACGCCCGCGGTGAAGCGGCCCCGGGAGCCGAGGCGCTCCGTCGGGCGGACGGCGTTGGTGCGGGCCTCGGCGGAGAGATCCGGCTTGTGGACGGCGGACACGAAGAGCACCTTGCCGTGGTCGACCTCGGCCTCGAGCGGTACGTCGCGAGGCTTGCCACCGGCCCAGCGACGCCCCCCCGGCGTGAAGCGGCCGCGGGCTCCAAGGCGCTCCATGGGTCGGACGGCGTTGGTGCGGGCCTCGGCGGAGAGGTCCGGCTTGTGGATGGCGGACACGAAGAGCACCTTCCCGTGGTCGACCTCGGCCTCGAGCGGTACATCGCGAGCATGGCCACCGGACATGATGTGCACACCGCGGGTGAAGGAGCCCCTGGTACCGAAGCGCTCGTCGGGGCGACCGCCAGCGACGTTGAAGGCGGGCAGGCCGGAGAGGTCGGGCTTGTGGACGGAAGTCATGGCTCTGATGTTGTCGTTGTTGATCGTTGTGATTGGGACGAAGCCTGAATATTGGCGGGGCAGCGGGCGGAGACATCGTGGGCAGGGGGAACGACAACAAAATGATGAGATACCGGCTCGCATAGATTGTTTGGGGGTCGATGGGCTTAGTGCGACGTGACGTCGAGAATCGCATAGTCTACACTGTATATTGTTCCCGCTGTAAAACGTTCACGCAATTTTCAGTTGTGATGACGGAACGACGAACGCCAGACGGGAGGGTAAGTGAGCGTGGGCTCTATTGTATCCATATTCAGAACAATTGCCGTGCAATACATTATTAGCAATAGTTGAAGATAGTTAAGCACAAGGGTGCTAGAGGGAGATCACAATTCAAAGCTGGTGCAACAACACTACAGTAGTAGGCAATGTGACTTCTTCCTCAAGGAGTGCGGAGCTGAGCATGCATGGTGGTTGGGGGACTATCTATCTATGTCGACGGCCAGCTCGGTGGGGAGAAATATCGGGTACACGAGACAAGACAGGCGGGACAAAAAAGATCCAACATCGTCACCCGACCTTAATCGAAAGTACAACAGGCGTCAACGGGTCACGAAAATAAAGTCGCTACAAACATTATTTTTCAGTAGACCGCACGACTTGAGGAAAAACTAGCAAGCACATGTTCATGACAAATCTTCACCGCGGAGCCTCTTCTGTAGCAGTGTGGTGGGCAACAACAGGAGTCAGAACATTTACGTTTGTATCTGTGTTTCTCCCCCCGGACTCTTGGAGATAAACTAGAGCCGGATTGCAGGTTCAATTCACGCGTGATCCAATTTGTTTGTTAACTCGACGAGTTTTGTACCCTGTGTGGTGATCGGAACTTATTGCTGTGATCTGATTATTCTACGCTTGCTATATCCTCGATCTCAGAACCCTGATGGGCTTAGTGCGACGTGACGTCGAGAATCGCATAGTCTACACTGTATATTGTTCCCGCTGTAAAACGTTCACGCAATTTTCAGTTGTGGTGACGGAACGACGAACGCCAAACGGGAGGGTAAGTGAGCGTCGGCTCTATTGTATCCATACATAGAGCAATTGCCGTGCAAAACAACATTAGCAATAGTTGAACATGGTTAAGCTCAAGGGTGCTAGAGGGAGATCACAATTCAAAGCTGGTGCAACAACACTACAGTAGTAGGCAGTGTGACTTCTTCCTCAAGGAGTGCGGAGCTGAGCATGCATGTTGGTCGGGGACCTATCTATGTCGACGGCCAGCTCGGTGAGGGGAAATACCGGGCAAACACAGGACAAGACAGGCGGGACAAAAAAGATCCAACATCGTCACCCGACCGTAGACGAAAGTACAACAGGCGTCAACGGGTCACGAAAATAAAGTCGCTACAAATATTATTATTTAGTTAGACCGCACGACTTGAGGAAAAACTAGCAAGCACATGTACAATGCACCACCGCCGTGCTGTGCCCTTTTTTCTCCCACATGTTCATGACAAATCTGCACCGCGGAGCCTCTTCTGTAGCAGTGTGTTTGGTGGGCCACAACATGAGTCAGAACATTTACGTGTGTATCTGTGTTTCTCCCCCCGGGGCTCTTGGAGATAACAAGAACCGGATTGAAGGTTCAATTCACGCGTGATCCACGTTTGTTAACTCGACGAGTTTTGTACCCTGTGTGGTGATCGGAACTTATTGCTGTGATCTGATTATTCTACGCTTGCTATATCCTCGATCTCAGAACCCTGTCCAACACTGGATCGGGCGGGTGATCTGTGGGAGATGGAGCACGCGACAGCTCGTCTGTTTGACCACACTGTATGGGTGACACCATATGACACATACATGATGTTTTTCACTGCGGGGAGTCGAACAACCGCCGTCGGATGTCAACCCCGATCAATATATCTTTCGCCCCGAACCACTTGAAACAAACGGAGCGGCAGGTCGTGCTACCGTACATGGCGATATTATTAATCGGCATATCGTGGTGTCTGCCCCTGGTTCGCCACGCTCGTCTCCGCAATTACCGTGCCACGGCGGTAAAGGGAGAGAGGCTACGAGAAGGTCCTTACAACCGCTCACCTCTGGCTTGTACGCACTCGTCGGTGTGTGTGGGTTGTTGGTCTCGATTGGAAGCTCGCCAAGGCAGGTAGGTGGTGAGTGGCGTCGCGAAGTCTTAGAGGAGGAGGTGTCTTGCACTGTTCGCGCGGTGTTTGTTCGGGAAGAGGACGAGGACGTGTTTGATATGTGAGCGAAGGGTGGGTGCCACGTGCGAGGTGGGTCGATTTGTGAAGGTTTGAGATGGCTTTGAAGTCGGTGCAATCGTCCTAATGATTGAACCTGGTTTTGGGTGAAATTACAAATGCACGAAAGTTCAACGGATTTACTGCTCCACTGGCTCTCTCACAAGAACAAACCGGGAAATTTCTCTTGGTTGGTGAACCACGGGTCTGTCCCTTCGCCGTCCGGCGCTTGTTGGCGACCCGAGTTCAAGGGTCCCGAGCCCCGAGTCCTGGTGGTTCCCCGTGTCCTGTTTACACACGAGAGAGTCCCGAGTGGGCCACACGAGGGACACAAATACACATGCAGCAGTGAGTTTATTTCACTCTCACGGCGGTGGCATCAAGTGCCTGTTGGGGGCTTGCCTGTTGTGTGCTCTTACGCCGCGATTGGAGATGTGCGAACGACACGTCCCACGGACAGAACTACGAGAGAGAGAGCGGATATGGGCCTTCTGGACGAAGACGACGGCGTGGACGCGGATGATGAGATGCACATGACATGGAGGTGCGGATGCACATGTAAGCGTCTGGGTATTCGCTACTACGCTACTGCTGTGCAGCAGTCAGTTACCAGTCAGTTGGCAGTCAGTCGTGGAGTTCTGAGGTGGGGCTTACTTACATGCGTGGGTGGTTTGGTGTGGTCGGGTTTGTTGGGTTGATCACTGGGCAGTGAGCAGCCACCTCTGCGAACACCGTACCTAGATCAATCAGGAAGACCAAGCACGCGCAGCGTGAGGCCACAGGACATACACAGCCAGTGGAGGAAGATGCGGCAGTAGATGTTGCGTTTTCTTTGTTGCTTCATGCGTCGAATACGTTGAAGCAGGTGCACGTGGTGCTGCAATCGAGTACTCGATGTTGCAGCTGATAAGCCCAACGCCACCCTTCCTTGTGTATCAAGTAGGGCGAGAGTCTTATCCTCTTGCACTAGGGATGTTGATGTACAGCATTACATCAGACTGGTCGCGGAATCTACAGAAACAAGGGCTTGCGTTTGATCAGGAAGTCCCGTCGCGTCCAATCTATCAACAATAGAATAATAAGTGACCAATAATGTATCACTTTGCGCGAACGGTGCTGCTCGTTTTAGGGCCCAGTCACCAATCAATACCGCATCGGAATCCCCTGCACAACCAGACCATGCCGCCGTTCATGGACAGGAAGGGAGACGCCGGGCCCATCGGATCGCCTCCGACCCCCAGCACAACCATCACCACCACTGCCACCACACAACTACAACCACTGCCACAACCGGCAACCAACAATCGTGTTCCAGTCACGAGTTCAATGTTTCCGGGGGTCGTACCGACGAGCGCCTATGCACCGCTGGTGGCAGCTTCACTTTCGGCATCCGCGCCATTCCGGGGGGGGCATCCCGTCATGTTTCCCTCGACGAGGCCCCGGTCGCCACCACGGCGGCAAGGTTCTGTTCGAATCGTCCGTCCAATAGCCCAGCCTATCCGGGGAGGCCCGTTTCAATGTCGCGGAGGGGCGCCCCACCGAACGCTTTGACGGAGCCCCCGGGCGCCGCTCTGCGCCGTCGGTCATGCGCATCTTGTCCAGAGGGCCTCGGCGTGAAGGTCGGCCCGACGGCGGTGCTGCTGCTGCTGCTGCTGCTGCTGTTGCTGCTGCTGCTGCCTGGGTGACGACCGTCGACCACGGCAACGGGTTGTTCGCGTCTTCGATCAACCGGCCCGATCGCTCCTACCTACCCGCCTTCAACGTTGCCGGCGGTCGCCCGACGAGCACCTCGGAGCCCCTCCGATCTTTTCCCCACCACGGACGCGTCCGGATCATGTCCGGTGGACAGGCTCGTGATGTGCCGCTCGAGGCCGAGGTCGATCCCGGCACCGTGCTGTCGAGTCGTCCGTCCACAAGCCCGACATGTCCGGCGAGGCTCGCACCAACGTCGTGTGGGAGCTATTCGATATACTCGTAGCATATCATGCGGGTGGTATATTGCGTATACATATGCTGGTATTGCAGTGACGAACTACGGAGGAACAAGAAGTTTCTTTTTGTTTTCCTTGGGAGTGTGGTAGATTGGTGGACATTCGTGGAGATTCATTTTCGGTGTTTGAGCGTTATGCGTGACTTGATGCCGTGATCGAATGACGAGCTCAAGCACGCCCCCGATTAATACAATAGGTATACAACACGTTTTCCAACACGTCTGTACGTTTTTACCCATCCACGCCCCGTCATGGGCCACCCGCTCTAAACTCCAAGCACATAGAACTGGGTCACCCGAATTATCGATCACGCTAGCCTATGACACGTCGTCTACGAGATTCGCGGTCGAGCTTGGTTTAGGAGTATCGCTTTGCGGCGATCGAGAGCAGGGTCAAGATGGCTACCAGGCGCGAAGATGGAGCCCGCCAAGCCCCACCCCCACCGAATGCCTCGGCGGAACCCCCGGGCGATTCGCGCCGGGGGCTCGTCGCTGGGCAGGTGATCACCAGCCAACGTTCCCGGGCGGCTCGAAACAACCGGCAGCTTCGTTATTCTCTCCCGAAACAGGGTCCTGTGTGGAGAACTCGCCGTCGTTTTTGTTGGCAGGTTAGCCTCCGCCTCCGGCAACGCACACGGTGTCACCCGCGGGTACGACAACGGGTCGGACAACACGGAAGACACCTACCTGCCAATAGCGGGAGGCTACATCAGCAGAGTTATTTGGGGGGGGGGGGGCA